ATCCTTAAACTACTTGAAATATTTCTTAATTTGTGTTCTGAGCATCATTGTCCCATTTTTTTTTTATTTTCCTTCCCCATTATAGTTATACTCCTATATTAACAAGGATCATTCCAGTAAAAACTTGAAGTTTTTATTGAGCACTTAATATATGTCTAGAACTGTGTAAGATACCATGGAGGCACTGGGAGAAGTATAAGATAGGGTCTCTCATTTTAAAGAGCCAGAAATTTAAAAGACTGAATTTCTGAAACAATGAGAGAGAAATATAAGGAGGATGAAATAAAAGAAAAATTGTGAGATAAACTCTGAGGTATGTAAAATAGAGAGGTCAGTGTAGGCCTTTTTAACTACTTTAGTTCAAGAGAACTTGACCTGGGCTTTGAAGTGGTGAGTAAGCAGGTGTGGCATTTAATTTTGGATTTAAGAATTGACAGATATCCAGAAGAAAGAAAGCATTGACCAAAGAAAATGGATAAATATTCTGAAATTGAGAATTTTTAACACAAATCAGGTTTTAAAAATGCTATTATTTGCTTGTTTTACTAGTGAAAATTATGACAGTTTGGAACTAGGTAGTGCAACTTACTATGATTATCAACATTTAAAAAATTAATTGTTCTCAACTTTTTTACATAGAAAAATAAAGATGTAGCTTAAAAATCTTAAATTACAGACTAAATGAGGTGCTTAGTGTAGGTGTATGTACAGAATTCTCTACAAGATCTTGAGAATTTCACTACTAAAAGAAAGGTTTTTGGCCATGCCTTTAAAGAAGAGAGATGCTTTTAAGTTGCTTTTAAGTTATGATTTCTGATTTCTGATTTTATATTGTAGATTATTTTGAAATTACAGAATAATCTAAGAACAATCTTGCTAATAGCTTTTTATGTCAAATAAAAAGCTGAAGTCAGGGCGTCTGTTGGGTGTCCGACTTTGGCTCAGGTCATGATCTCACGGTTCGTTGGTTTGTGCCCCGTGTCGGGCTCTGTGCTGACAGCTAGCTCAGAGCCTGGAGCCTGTTTCGGATTCTGTGTCTCCCTCTCTCTGACCCTCCCCTGTTCGTGCTCTCTCTCTCTCTCTCTCAGAAATAAATAAAACATTTAAAAAATAAAATAAAAGCTAAAGTAGATTTTAAAACCACTGTGGTCGTACAATGTGGCTTTTGTGCAAATGTGTTTGTTCTAAAAATAACAATTTTTTACTTGCCAGTGTTTTAAAATATTTTTTTAATGTTTATTTATTTTTGAGAGAGAGACGGGGAGAGAGAGAGCTATTAGGGGAGGGGTGGGGAGAGAGGGAAACACAAAATACAAAGGAGGCTCCATCCTCTTAGCTGTCAGCACAGAGCCCAATGCAGGGCTCAAACCCGTGAACCACAAGATCATGACCTGAGCCAAAGTCAGATGCTTAACCACTGAGCCACCCAAGCACCTTTTAAGTTGCCACTTTTTATGTGAGGGCTAGTATAAAGATGGACTACATATAGAGGTAAAACACAGAAACACTTTCTGCTCCTCAACTCATTAGATCTGACAGAGGGCCTTGATCAGAGTCCAATGCATATGGCCCCTTTCATGTTTAAGGATGTAGAAAGGCTGGAATAGCAGCAGTGAAAATGGAAGGGGGCTTTGTGTCTTGGCTCTGAACCATGTGTATTACAGGAAAGTTGGTCCAGCAGAGGTACTTTCTCATTAGGAATAAGTTTTTTTCTATTTATTATCTTATCTATAAATAAGTTGAATATTTCAAGTATATTTCTTTTCTTGTATTGAATTTCTAGATACTTCTTATATATTTTTATTGTTTAGAATAACATGTTCACATCCTTTAAAGGACCAAAAACTAGTGAACATAATTAGAAAGTAGAAAGAGAAAATAGCTGCCTATTCCTCACAAGAAATGACTTTTAGGTTTATTCTAAAGTGAATAGCCAAGAAATGATCTAATAATTCTCTTTTGGAATATATAGTCTTGAATGATAATTTTGAAAGAAATGCTTGTTATAAGTGATACAGAATCTGTTCCTTATTCTTTCTCTAAGAAGAGTAAGGGGCTGGACTTGTGTTTATCTGCCCATTTGTATTTTACCAATTACTTTATTCAGGATCAACGTGTGGCATGAATTAATTATCCCTTTGTCATTGTTGAAACTTTCAAATAATGAAAAACTCTTTCCTTTCTGAAAATGTCCATCTTAGTCAAAGCTACCTGACAATTGTGATAATGAGAGAGTACAGAGTTACTTTGTGGGTTTATGTTTTATTGATAATGTAATCTGTTACCTAAAAATAAGCTTAATTTTTCTTCTGTATCAACTCAAAAAGTTATATTCAATAGGTGATCTTTATCTTTATTAATTTTAAATTTGTTTACACTAACAGAAGCTTCGAAAAGTAAATGCTAAAATTTATTTTCTTTCCTTGCCCTCAAATTTACTTTAAATTTATATATTCTTTACAGAGATAAAACTTTTTTATTTAAACTACTATGCTTGTGGGGTGGCTGGTAGTCGGTTAAGTGTCCGATTTCGGCTCAGGTCATGATCTTACATTCTGTGAGTTCGAGCCCTGTGTTGTGTGGGCTCTGTGCTGACCCCTCAGAGCCCTGACCCTGCTTCAGATTCTGTGTCTTCCTCTCTTTCTGCCCCTCCCCCCTCACACTCTGTCTCTCTCTCTCTCTCTCTCTCAAAAATAAACATTAAAAAAAAAGGATAAACTCCTATGCTTGTAATAGGAATGATCTGTGAAAACTGCAAATGTTTTTAGGCCATTTGATTCTAAGTGTATGAGAAATAAATAAATCAGATGTGACAGTCTGAAATAATTTCAACTGAATAAATATAAATTCTTAACCTTTTCTAGGTCTTTTTTATTATACATAACTTAAATTGCTTAATTTTGCTTACATATATAAGCCTAATACAACTGCCTTTACTAATTGAAATAAAGACAGTGTGTCTTAATTTGACTTCCCTTTTGTTAAGAAACAGGAAATGTGAGATAAAACAAATGAAAGGATTAAGCAGACATATCATCTGCTTGGGTCTCAAAAACACACACAAATATATGCACTTTTTTTTTTTGGTAGATACCACAGGTCTGTTCCGTCCTCTAAATTGTGCTATAATACCGAAGAATTTGATATTCTTTGTTTTTCTTTAAATTTTAAGTGACTACAGATGAATGATTTTCATCACCTAAGAATTATCAGTATTTGAGCCTTTTGGCTGATTTTCTGTGGTATTAAGACATCTACTTATGTTTTCTATCTGAACATTTAAAGCAAACTGGTAAACATAATTTTTCATAAAAGTTTACTTTGTGGAGTTAAACACCTAAATGTTCCAAAAGTATTTCTAAATGATCCTAAAAATTCCTAAATGACCCTAAATATTCCTAAACTATGTAAATTAGCTGAAATGTCTTATCAAATGCTACTATTGTAAATATTGGATTTTCACTGTACTGACTTGCAGCTTTATTTGTACACTGACTAATAGGGATCTTTCTCAGAATTATCAAGTGTTAAATATTTATCATGTTGAATATAGCATGTGTAGAGAAACCATCTTTTAAAAAGCAAGACATTTTAGTCATGTTCCTATAGATGAATGTCATAGTAGAAATCACTGACCTAAGAACCCAAAAAACAAGAACCACAAAAAACCTTCAGCTTTATTCTCATTTCTGCCCCAAACTCCAGGCCATTAGAATCTCTCTTCAGAATTATTTGTGGGTTCTGCACCTAATTCTATTTCCTACTAATTTATTAATTAGGATATCCTTTAATGTCAGGAAACAGCATAACATCATAGCATAGTATGATTTTGACTTTAATCCTTCAATATATTAGATTACTGCTCTGAACCTCAGTTTACTAATCTATATTGTGGACATAATAGTTTTGTTTTGGTGGTGATTAGATAAGTTTGTATTTGTGTTATGCTTGAGTTAAATTTCAACTGCAAGATATAGTAACTATGTAGTAATTGTTATTTTTAAAATATTGTATTTAGTTGTTATGATAGTTTAAATAGTAAGAATACTTCCGATTAAATGACCATACTTCAGGATCTTTTTCTACCAAATGAGGAGAACCTGTGTTCCCTCCTAAATCCCTTATATATAATGAAACTGTGTTAATATTATTTTATTATAATGTGCCTTCCAACAGAGGATATATCTTCATAAGTCTTAATGTTTATGAAGAAGTACACAAACTTGACATTTGATATTATTTATAATTTATAGTAACAAATTATTGGCTTTTGATCAGAAGTAATTAGTGGGTTTATCAGTTTCCTAAACCCTGCATGTCTTTTAACCATTACTAAAATGTTGCTCTTTCTTCAGATATAGATTGTATCAATTATTCTTTTATCATGTCTGTTAATAGAAACTACAGTTATAAATCTTCCTGTACAATTATTTTTCTTACTTTTTTTTTTAATTTTTTTTTAATGTTTTATTTATTTCTAGGAGAGAGAGAGAGACAGCGTGAGCAGGGGAGGGTCAGAGAGAGAGGGAGTCACAGACTGAAACAGGCTCCAGGCTCTGAGCTGGCAGTCAGCACAGAGCCCAATGCGGGGCTCGAACCCATGAACCATGAGATCATGACCTAAGCGAAAGTCGGATGCTTAACCGACTAAGCCACCCAGGCGCCCCTATTTTTCTTACTTTGAGTAGGAACTTAAATTAAGTTGTAGCAAACAAATGGTTGTATGCTTATATGATACTCAGTTGTTTTCTGTTATGAGGTAGGAGAGCAATTTACCACTTACACAAATTATTCTTGGGTTATATGTTGTTTTCTATCATAAATTTCAGTAAGAAGGTAGGAAGTTGCCCAGTTTTTCTTCACTATATTTATATCTGATAACTGTACTGTATTTGAATCTTACACTTTCTTCTTCCTCAGAAGAAATTATGTATATTTAAAACTGTGTTGCTCACTTTCTATCTTCTCCCAAAAGTAATAATGTTTTCCTTTTATTCTAGTTTAGACTTGGTTCCTTCAATCTAGAGAAAGTCACAAGTCCAGCTGAAGTCATTAGGAAACTTATTTGTTATTGCCTGGACACCATTGCAGAAAACCAAGCCAAAAATGAGCACCTGCAGAAGGAGAATGAAAGGCTTCTGAGAGATTGGAATGATGTTCAAGGACGGTATGTGCTAATATTCTTGTATTATAAAAATTCTAAGCTTTCTTTATATTGCTATAGCTTTACATTAATGATGTGTAAGTTTATAATATATGTAGACTAGCATATATTTAAAAAAAAATCTTTACTTAGTATGACTAAACCAAACTAGTACTTATTACTGTACATTATAGGAGTACATTAATGCTTTCCAGTCATTAGTGTTTGGTGGCACCAGCAAACTAATAAACAATACGGGATAATCAGGCAGTGAGAATCAGAATCCATTAATATTAATCAAAATTTTGGAAGTTGATATTTAAAAGATTTAATTTACCTCAAATTATAGGATTGATAATAAATTAAAAAGAGACATGAAATGTCAATATGCACAATTGATTTCTTATTGGAATTTTTTTATAAACAGTAACTATTTCAGATGCTGTGTGCTCTGGTTCCTGATAGAGACTTATTTTGCTCACTGAAAATTCATACTACTGACATTTTAAAAAGATGAAGTAATTGTGATTGCTAGATAAGACATTTGGAATATATTATTTTCCTGATTTTGCCTCTTATTTTTTAAACAACAAAGAAAGTAATTTTTCTTCTCCTTATGCATTTTTTTAGCTATATCATTCATAATCTAGGTTGGCCTAGGGTGTGTTTTTTTATTACTCTGTTATGTAAAAGATATTTGAAGGAAATAAATTGTATGTTGTGAACCTTTATATCTCTACAGAGACGTTATCATATGCATGTGTTTGTGCATATATACATGGTGACATCTGAGACAGTTATATGGAATGTATATAATAATGATATTATTATATCATTGATAAAATAATAAATGTTATCATTACATCCATTATATCCAGTAGATGATTTTCTATCTTTCATTCAAACCAGTAGCTCTAAAACATAAGGATAATTTGCTAATTTAGGGTCTTTTAAGACAATCCCTAAGATTGTTTTATAGGGACATAGGTAAGTTAATATTGAAAGTACATGGAAAATGTGAAGGGTTTACCCCTTTCAATGTATGTTTGTGAAAAGAATGTTGACTAGATGATACTATGTTTCTACATGTCCGATTAATGCAAGACCTGTAAACACCTAAAACTTGGTTATATTTGGCTTTCAGTTATTATATTAAGAAGGTATCTTGTTTTTTTATCTCTGAATTAATATTTATCTCCAATTATATAAAAATGAGACCAAATAAAAACTGTAAATATTAGGAAACCATATGGAAAAATAAGTTAATTTTGCTCTTCCTCGTTCTCCTTAAAATCATGTTAGTATGAATCACTATCAAATATTTGTCCTAGAAATCAAATTTTGGGGTTTATATCGGTAGTTTGGATATGCTTTTCTATTTTACATACAAAATAAATCACATTAAAGGAGATCTACTATGGTTGTGATAAGCCATTATATTTAAAACTCAGAATACCCTCAGGATGATAGGAAATTTGATCCACAAATTGCTCACAAAAAATGTAGACTGGGTACTTGGTACTTGAACAAATTGCTTTAAAATGTCTGCCAGAGGTTGAAAGAGGTATTGTCTCATCAGTATTCAACAGCACTGCTATACACTGGAAAGCAGCAGGGAACAAAGATGCGACAGTGGAGACCAATGCACCCTGTGCTGTAAAACAGCGGCAGAGGAGGGTGTATAATGTGTAACCCACAGATGCTTGATTCGCTCTTTTTTAACTATCCAGAAAGTCCTTTTGCATTATTGTGGCAGAAGGTTTCCCATTTGATCAAAAGCACAATCGTATCTCTCATCACTAGTCTTATGTTCCTGCTCTTCTTTTTTTGTAAATACTGGGTCATATATTTTCCTCAAGGGTTGAAGATATGTGTCATTGTGGTGCCCCCTCCACCTCCTCCAGCAGAGAAAAGTTAGCCTGTTCCAGAGAATTCTAGGCTCTTGATTGTATTCCAAATATTAGATAAGCAGCTTTACTTATTTCCCAAATTTCCCAAATGGTTTTCTTTTCTATCAGAGGGGAAAGTGGCCATTTTAAGGAGCTATAAATATATCGTGATCTTGACCATGTAGTACTTTCTTGCATGTTCTCTCTCTAGACCCTTAGTATAGTGGAAAATGAGCAAAGAACTCACATCTCCAGCTTCCATAAAGCAGTAGTAATAATCAGGAGTCTTTAGAGAAATTATAAATAGATTGTGAACCTACTAAGTTAGGTAACTGAAGACATAAAAGGTAGAGAAGCATTACAGTGGGGCCTGTTGTGGCAGGCCTGGCCACAGTTCAGTTTTCTGGGCAGTCTCTGATATTCTTATATCATTGTCCATCCATGTTCCAATCAAGTCTTCCCCATCATTGTTTCAGACTGTGTATGTGCATGGGTAAACGGGTGAGCGGCACAAAATAGATGCTGAGAATTCCCTTGGAGGTTATGGTGGATAGGTCTTAAATATGTTTAATGCACAATAGGATATTATGTGAGCAAAAAACAATCATATACACATGTGCTTGTACCATAGAAAATGTTAATGACGTGTTAAGAGGAGAAATGTGAGTTAACAAAAAGAGGAATAGTATGCAGTTTTTGCAAAATATATCTTTAGCTAGAAAATATCTAGAGGGAGAAAATTACATCTTAATAGTGTATGTCTGAAATTGTGGATTAAATTTCTTTTTTTACTTTTTGGGGATTTCTTTTGCATATATTTTGTTATTTAAGTATGTATAATTATAATCAGAACCAACTCTAAAACTATTTCCATTTGGGATGACAGCAGAGAATACATGAAATTTAAATAAGGAATGAGGAATTACAGTATGAGTAAAAAGAATAAGTTTTAGGGGCTCCTGGGTGGCTCAGTCGGTTGAGCATCTGACTTCTGCTCAGGTTCTGATCTTCGAGTCCTTGAGTCTGAGCCTTACATGGGTCTCTGTTCTGACAGCCCAGAGCCTGGAGCCTGCTTAGGATTCTGTGTCTCCCTCTCTCTCTGCCCCTCCCCCATTTGTGCTTGCTCTCTCTCAAAAATAAATAAACATTAATTTTTTAAAAAAAAATTTAAAAAAATTTAGTGTACAGACTTTTAACATATATATTTGCTATTATTTTTTATTAACTGTTTAATAATTGTGGTCTTAGCTCCATTTTGAACAAGTGACATTACTGGATCAGTTTAATTTTGTATCATTTAGATGAAGGAGAAAACATTAGAAATATATGCTAGTCCTTAGGTTATTAGCTATATTTAGTTTACTTGTTTTTCCTATTTAATTTCAAATACAACTCTCAAGCTCCATATTACTGAATAGGTCTTTTGTTTGCATTCAGACATCAAGTTAGAAACTCTCCAGCTTTATTCTGAGTTACAGTTATTAAACCTGTAATTGGAGGCAGTTCTCAGCAGATTGAATGGGGTTGACACTCATGGAATCATTAGAATAGAAGAGACCTTGAAAGCTCTTTTACTTCATCTCTCTGCCTTCAAGCTAGGATCACATTATATCCAGATGAATTCAGTCTGATTTTTAAAGACCTCAGGAGATAGCGTCAACTCCCCTCGGTAGCACATTATAATGTTTAAGAACAGTCACAGTCAGAAAATCCTTCCTTCCATCTCTTGGTAATCTGAGTCCTTCATGGTATAGTTGAAGGCCATTTCCTCTTATTCTTTCATCAGAAAGGATGAGGAACAGCTGTTTACCATCTTCTTCACTACTTAAAGGCTTATTAAATCTCTTTACCACTGCTTTCTTTTCCAATTCTTTTTAGCATTCTTTGTCCTCAGAACTCTTTTCAGATTTTCCTTTGCTGTACATACAACCCTGACCTGGATATAAATTTGGCCAGAGTTGATTGGAAATATAAGGGATATTGCAGTATTTCTGAGTACCACATGTTCACATTTATATAATTGCTGTTTTATTTTGGGTTATCATTTAATCTGTTTTATTTTGCATTTTGATTTTGCGTGAAATTTCCTTGTTTTCATTCTTTATTATTTTTTGATGTTATTCTTAGATTCTTTGTCTTCCTGTGTAGAATATTTTATTTTGAATATTTAGTATTTTTTGTACTTAGTCTTTATCTTTTTAGGTTTTTTGTTTTTTAATTACTGGGGTTTTTTTTGGTCTAAATTTCTAGATATGTCAGTTCTAGGGTGATAATTAACCTTAACATTTTTGTCTTTTGTCCTCATCACTGTTGAAAAGATGAAACCATCATTAGCCGTTTGCTGTTTGATGCTGTCTTTGGTTTCATTCGCTTTGGGTTTTGCCTTGGAGATGAATCTTGGACCATGGTCTAATCTAGTTGTATGTGAGTTCTCCTTTAGTATTGCTGACTTAGCAGTGAGTCCCATGTCTCTCCTGTACTAAATGGCCTCATCTTCTAATACCTGTCTAGTTCCTTTGGTGAAAGGTTGGTAGGAGGCAGGTAATGTGGAAGGCGCATTAACATCATAATGCTGTAAGAGAGGATTGGCATTAAAAATGGGATAGGGTAGATAGTATATACCTCTCAGTCACTGAATATTGAATAGAAGGGTACTATTCTCTAAATTTATTGATAAGTTAATAATTGAGACTAAATTTATGTCCTGAAATTGTTCACAGTAGTACTTTCTCTCAGCCAACCCCTACTTCCTAGTTTTGTCTAGGCAGTGATATCCAATTTGATAATCAGAAGTTTGGTTGCAAGAAAATCCTTAGGGTTTACTTAAGTCATAGGATGCCATTTATTCTGTTGTTTGGTCTCTCATCACAGACATGCTAACTTGGACGGTGTAGTTGTTATACTAGTTATTAGGATTAACAGTATTCTGTACACAGATTATTTGATATGTTTTGATGTTTTCATTTTAAATCCATGTATTATGCTAAATATTAATTTTTATAAAGGTTTTGAAATGTGCTTGAGAATTGTTAAGTGCACATGATCTTTAATTAAGAATTATTGAAGTGATTTATAGGGAGATTAAGTGTGCATTTAAATCAGGTAAATAACTTATTGATTACTCTTCCTTAAACTTATATAATACAACTTATAAAAATATACAAGATTTTTATTGTACATGGTTAAAATTGATTTTTACTTTGCCTTTGTTTAAAGCCTTTTATAATATTCTCAAGTATGATACATATATTCTACTCATCTTTCAACATTTTTGTTAGGTTATATTAGAAAGTAGTAAAAGAAAATAATGTAGAATGTTTATATAACACTTTGCATCTGAAATAAAAATGCATTGACATGTCCCTGCTTAAAATAAGCCATCAATATTCGCAGCTCCTCTTAAGCTTTGGTTCTATTTTTTTCCTACACCTTTTGGTATACATCTTTCTCAAAGAGCTTTGCTTGGTAAAAGGAGTACTGTTATATTAATATTTACCACAATTTCTTTTAGAAGCTGAAGCAGATGAAAAATGTTGCTATTACAGTGGTGAAGAGCTGTTAAAAGAGTGAAAAATAACTTCAGAATCACAGGTTCTCCATTTCTTTATAAGAAGTCTGTATTAACTCCCTTACTTTATTCATTTTACTGATAGCTCCTACTATCTCTCGAATGCCAAACACTGTGTTAAGCACTGAGGATAAAGCAGTCAGTAAAACACACATGCACTCTGCCCTTATGGAGTTGACAACTTTGGCAATGACTGTACTGTAAGAGAGCTGTAATTTCGCCCAGAAAATGTATTTTATTTATTCCTTTTCATTCCATAAAAGGCCCCAATTCTTTGCATCTTTAGATAGATAAGTTGCTGAAAGCATAAGGACGTATATATCAAAGGTATCAAATTTTGACATTTTTGTTTCTCATTTTTCACTGAAGAAATTATATATTGTAAATATCTGACATATATACACATCTATACAGATATCATGAAAATACTAAAATACCTGTATAGGACAACAAAAGTAAATAGTAAAGAGAACACGAGGCAGAGCAAGACTACATTTAAAAGAATATTTTATATGAAATAATTTATATTTGAGTCTTTATAGGTTTGTTCATGGTTTGCATGTATGCACAAATCTTACATATGCTATCTCTGCTTCTTAGCTTTCTTTATATCTGGAAGATTAAAATTAGTATAGTCTTTTGTTCACTTCTTTGGATGTTGTAGAACGAATTATAAATGACAGAATTTTATGTTTTCTTTCATATATCTAAAATTGAGGATATATATATATAGTGTTTCACATTTGCAGCTTCATTACTCTTTCCTGAGAAATTTCAGGTTAAATACTTGCATTCATTATATACATGCTCATAGAAGCGTGTGCGCATGATGCTGAAGATCCAACTGTATAAATCATGTTCTTGCCACGGAACAGTTCATGATCTCTTTAGGCAAAACAGGTAAATCATGTAATCACAAAACACAGTCACTGTTACTATTATAGCAATATTAGGAAAATATAGGAATTATAGGCTATAATTATTCTTGTGTGATATTTCTCCCATAAAACATATCCCTTTGGAAATAAATGGTAGATGTGAATAAATTATTAACATTTAAGCATTTAGATGTTTTGAAAGCTTTTTTGGTATCATTTTCTAATTTTGATCCTTATCTCACTACATAAATTACTAACATTAATAAACAATAAATTCCCATTATTTGCTTCATTATCTCTATGAAACTTTAAATCAGTGGAAACCCATAAAAGTGAGTTTTAATTGTAATTTCCTTGAAAAGTGTTCTTGAAATCACCTTTCGTTTTGGATTGAATAATATTAATGTTAAGGAAAACCACATTATTTATTTATTTACGTTTTAGATTTGAAAAATGTGTGACTGCTAAGGAAGCCTTGGAGACTGATCTCTATAAGCGGTTTATTCTGGTCCTGAATGAGAAGAAAGCAAAGATCAGAAGCTTGAATAAATTGTTAAATGAAGTTCAAGAACCAGAAAGGAACATTGAGCATGAAAGGTATTTGGAGTGTCTGTTTGGAGATGACAGATACATACACTTAAATAGAATTTCTTCCCAAACGTAATGAAAGTTAGGTGCCAACTTTGTAGTGTATGAGATCATTTGGTAGTCTGGGGTTGGATGCTCTGCTTGTTGGAATCCGTGGGCTGGAGAATTCTCAGCATGATCACTACATGTCTGCCCACTGTCATAACTGTACTTAAATCATAAAAGTGTCACATGATTTAACTAAGTATTATCTATTAAATTCTTAGACATCATTAAAATATATTAATTAAAAACTTTTATCTTCTGCAAAACTGCAGAGTTGAATACACATTTATCAGTTTGGTGTCTAAGCAGTGGTTAATCTGAGAGTGGATGTGTACTCGATTTTTTTATGAAAGAGTCACAAGTGATTTACAGCTGGTTGGGACAACTATAATTATTTTAGTCTGATTTTTATTGTTTAATATTTTATTATTTATCCACTTAATTATTTTATTGGATATAGGTTAGAGTCTATTGCCCTGATTCTGAGAGAAAGCAAGGTTTAATAATGACATCATATAAAGAATGTAACATTTGATGTCATGTGTTCCTAGTTCAGGTGCTGGTCTTACACTGATATCTATTAGTACATGACTTTGGGGAAGTTCTTTAAACTCTGTGTTTTACTTGGTATCTTCATAATATGAATAAAGGTACCTGTCTCAGAAGTTTGGGGCAATCACAAGCAAGGCAGACTGAACACTGTGTGATCCACAGAAGGTAATTTGGAAGAATAGTATTTTGATAGATGAATGATGTGATAAGAAACTGATTCAAGAGTTAATCATAGCAAGCATTAACCACATTCAAGTTAGGTAGAAGAGAAACTTGTTCTTAAGAGAGCTAACGGATAGTCTTTAAAGTGCTTTCATCTTGATCATATGTATTTCAATATGTTTGTTTAATTACAGAATTTTTCCAGGGATAATTTCTGTAATTACTTACTGGTGAATTTGATCCCTACCACGGGTGAGCCAATACTTTATAATTCAACCTTGCTCTGTTTCTAGGGAAGCCACAACATGTTCTGGAATGACTGCTGACAGAGATGCCATCTATGAAGAAAGTACTGATGAGGAAAGTGAGAACTTGCCTGGTTCCTCTTTGTTAGCTCCAGGTAAGAGAAATACATTTATTACCTTTGTTGAATATCTCACTTGGGCTTATTACTCTATTGATAACAAACCATAATGAAAATGTTATGAAAAACATTTTTTCAGGACTCCTGGGTGGCTCAGTCAGTTAAGCATCTGACTTCAGCTAAGTTCATGATCTCTAGGCTTAAGAGTTCGAGCCTCCTGGGGCACCGGGGTGGCTCATTCGGTTAAGCTTCCAACTTCGGCTCAGGTCATGATCTCATGGTTCGTGGGTTGAGCCCCGTGTGGGGCTCTGTGCTGACAGCTAGCTCAGAGCCTGGAGCCTGTTTCAGATTCTGTGTCTCCCTCTCTCTCTGACTTTCCCCTACTCATGCTGTCTCTGTCTCTGTCTCTGTCTCTCTCTCAGAAAAAAATTAAAAAACATTAGGGGGAAAAAAAGTTTGAGCCTCACATTAGGCTCTCTGCTGTCAGTACCAAGCCTGCTTGGGATACTGTGTCCTCTCCCACCCCGGCCCTCCCCTGCTTACTTTCTCTCTTTCAAAAATAAATAAACACTAAAAAAAAGTAAAAACTCTCTTCTCCAAAACTTCTTTTAGGGGTTTTAGTCTAAAACCTCAAGTACATAATGTTGAAAATTAGTATTTATTATAATATGCAGCAACTCATTAGCAATAAAACAAGCAAGAATGCACACATACACTCCAAGGCATACTATTCTTTATTAAACAAGGGTGCATCAGGAATAAGCAAGATATGTGTTCGTGCTAGTTATCTCCAGCTCGAGGCTGGCTGTCTGTAACATTCGAGATCACCTAGCTAGAGCTATCAGTGAGTAAGGAGCAGGAGGAAATAGAATTTTTCACATTATCTTGAAGTTGAGCCTTCTCTCGCTATTCAGAAAAGGAATTGTAATCGGGGAGATGGGTTCCAGGGGAAGGGAAGAAAAAATGACAGTTTAAGTTAAGGTACCTGAGCCTCACTCAGTCCCTCAGATATAAATCATGGATGATTTTTCTAGAGATTTAAACATTTCCTAGAGGCAAGGCCTTCTGAAATCATCTTACACTTGCATGCTTCTAGAAGTCCCATATTCTCAAAATAAATGCATTTATTTAGCAAATATTTTTTGAGTGCCTATTATGTACCAGGAACTATTCCATGTAGTAAACAGCAAAACACAAAAATGTCTGCTTTCATGGAGTTTATAAATTCTAGTTGGGGAATTGGACAATAACAAGATGCATAAATTAAGTATAAACTATTATAGATAGTGATAAATGGTGAAGAGAAAACTAAACCAGGTAAGGATGATAGAAAATGTCAGGATGGAAGCAGGACAAAGGTTGTGACTTTAGCCAGGGCATCAGAAAAGGCCTTGGTGAGTAAGTGACAAGTCTGTCTGTGGGGTGAGCCTTGCCTGGTAGAAAAAAGCAGTAAACCACAAAGGCCTTGATGCAGGAGTTTTCATCAACTTTTTGTTGACATATTCAAGCAGTAGAATGGAGGGAGGTATTGATAAAATAGGACAATGAAAATAAGGAGAATGAGAATATGAGGTCAGAGAGAAGCCAGATCATGTGTGAGGCATGTGTAGGGCCTTACAGGCTTTGTAAGAATTTCAGGTTTTGCTTTGAATTACATTGGAAATTGTTGGAGGGCTTCAAACATCAAGTGATGGGATCTGACTTAAAGTTTTAGCAGGATTAATCTGGCTGTTGTGCTGAGACTAGAGGATACATAGTGTGATGACCACACAAGAAGATATGGCACTGGGACACTGGTTCAACAATGAGTGAAGGAAGTGAGTGGCTTAGACCAGAGTGGTAGCAGTGAAGATCATAAGCAACAGGCATATTATATTCTAGGTATGTCTAGAAACAGCATATTTGTTGATGAACTGTGAACGGCTCCTGAGAGAAAGATAGACACTAATCATGGTAAGCTTTTCAGATTGAATGCTGAAGGTATACACTTGCCTTACTGAATTAGGAGAGTCTACAAGAGAAGGTTAGGAACTGAGCTTTACAAACATTAATTCTGAGATATTGAGTAGGGAGTTGGATATACAAATCTGGAGTTTGGGAGAAGGCTAAGTAAGGAGGTATTTAAAGCTGGCTGAGCTATCAAGGGACTTTGAGAAGAGAGAAAAGGGCTGTGATCCAAGGACTCCACCTTAGTACACTTGGATGTGTAGAGGTCAATAAAACTAGGAGACCAGCAAAGAAGGCTGAGAGGGAGCAGCCTGGAGGTAACAGGCAAACACTATAGCAGTGCTACTCTAGAGAACAAGTCAAGAAAGTGTTTCAAGGAGGAGATAGAGATCAACTGAGTTGAGTGCTGCAGACTGGGTAAAAAGATGAGGATCAAGGACTGATTGACTGATGGATTTGGCAACACAGATGTTATTGGGGATCTTAATAAAATGTTTTCAGTGGAATAGCAACAAGAGGAAATTCAAAAGGAATGAGAGGAGGTAATTGGATAAGAATTAACAAGCCTTAGCAACACTTCTAAGGAAGTTTCACTATAAAGAAAAGGAAAGATATGGCTGGCTGCTGGAGAGGCATGTGAAGTCAAGAATTGTTGTTGTTGTTGTTGTTGTTTTCTTAGATGACAGAAATAATAACATGTTTGCCTATTTATGAGTAAGTAAGGAACCGTGTAAAATCTTGCCGCAATTGTGGAATACTGTGTCTAAGTGAAGATGGGGTCAGAAGCACTAGTGGCAGGATTGCTTAGCTAGGAGTATGGACGCTTTGCTTAATGACAGGAGAGAAAGCAGACTAAATGGACAAAGACAGGAAGGTATCTAATTGCGGCCGTGGAAATTTACTAATACTGATTAAATACTTTGGTTGATTAATCTGATTCTAATTAGATTTGAGTTGGATCACACAGTCACACACACTCTCACTTTTGCAGATCAGAGTTAAATTTCTTTTGATTTGGGCGGCATGCTTGTTTTACACTGGTGACCCAGTATAAAATGAAGTCATTTTTTAATAATCACATGTAATTGAAAGCTCACTAAAAAGGGAATCTGTACTCTTTCCAACTTAAATGGTCAGAATTTTTATTAAATACAGTGGTCTTTGATTTTGTTCTTATTCAGAGTATCTCACCAACCTTTGAAGTAGATGGAAATTATTTTTGAAGAGAAAATGTATGGTTAAATAATGGGCATATGAGAACGGGTTCCTTTATGTGTTCAGTCTCTTTTAAGCAAAGCTTTACTGTAATAGTACTATTTTAAATTTGGCAAAATTTCTCTTCTCTTCAAAAATGTTTAGTTCATTGTGCATTTTTTCTATGTTTTACATGGCATATTTTCTTTAACTCACATCCAGTTCACTACATATTTGACCTATAGGTCTCCATTCCGGTTTTATTTATTTATTTATTTATTCATTTAACTTTTGTCAGGTTTGATGTCAGGAATTAAGAGCATAAAAAAAACAATTAACACTTGTATTATAAATTTTAACAGTCTTCCTCCTTCTGCTCCAGGAAGAAATAGTTAGGAAACTGAAGGTTAGGAATAAAAAAAAAAAAAAAGAACCTTGTTTCTAACATTAATTAAGAACTAGATTCTCTCCATCTGAGGAAAAATATTTTATGCGTTATACAACAAAATAAGCTTCCTTATCATTTAGCAGATTCAACAATTCACTCTTTTACAGAGACAAAATATACTGGTAGTTCATGGGGTATATGTATATATATTTAATCATAGTTTGTCTTGGTATTTTTCATATTATTACTATGTGTTTGGGCCAGAGCAATGAAAGTTTCTTCCTGAACTTATTCTGCCATCTTGATAATAAATTACCTATTCTAATTGTACAAGTAAATATTTGAATTTATTTTAATAGTACAGTTTCATGTGTGCTTTCTTTATAGTAAGAACAAGAGGACAGCAGTTGATGGGATTTAATACATGTAATTCTTCCATAAAGCCATTTATTTAAATCGCTAAATGTTTAACTTGGTTGTCATTTCTATTATGCAAATGTGTTCTCATCATTATTAAAACCACCAAATTTCCTCCTGAGTTGTTCCCATTTTATTTACCCTATTCCTGCATACTCTGAGTTTAGTGAGACCAAGACATTTAGTGATTTCACAATATTCATGGAAAAGGTCTGTTTATTTATATATATACATATATCCAACCAGAGTTTTAAATCTTCTCCTCCCATCATTAGGATTGTTGAGGAAATAACTGATGACAGTACTCCGTCTAATAAAGTACATCATGCTTATGTGTGTGATACCATATAGTATGAAAACCACTTAAAACATTTAAAAGTTTGTTAGTTAAAAGGAGATCTCCAAAGAATTCTGAATCTTGAACGTCACAGTCTATACCACCTTACAGCTACATTTTATCTTTTTCTGTAAAAATATAAAGCAAGGTTTACTTTCTATAGGTCTTTTAGAATTTCTAGGTAGGTAGCAGTGGAATTACAGCCTTTGTTTAAGAAGTAAACTAAACTGCATACTAAAGCCCTAGAGCTCATAGGTATTTTGCTTTGTTTCAAATTAAGATTATGATTGGTAAACTGGTTGCTGTGATCTCTATTTATAGCTCAGCCTCCAGATTACAAAGATTTATTTACTATATATTATTTACTACAGATACAGTAAACTGACCTTCTCTACAGAAAATCTTTTTGTTGGGATACAAATCAAGGTAACAGGTGATGTCCATGTCTGCAGAGAAACTTGAGGTTGAGTAAGTCTCCTGAAACAGAACCTCACCACAATACAAAGACATAAGAGTGTAATTAGTATAGCATCTGAGTGCATACAGGTGGGCTTTTACTGGCCCCAACAGTGTCTGATATAACCTAAAAACTAATTTATGGTTTTGCAGTTTTTCATATTTATAGCCATTTTGATACTATAAGACTAAAATTATATGAGAAAATAATTTTAATGCATATGAATATTCTAAGAATTTTAACCATTATTGCAAAATATTTCTTAATGTTAACATAATTCAAAATGTGAGTGAATA